TGTGGCTTTAGGTTCTCAAGCAACTTTGGTTGTGGTCAATTTGTCAGAAGCATCTTCCTAACCAGTTAGCAACTTAGTGCTAGTAGGTTCCCAATGGGAAATTACATTGGGACCAAGTAGCACTAATCTGCGGGCACGTACGCTCATTTCTTTTTTTTTTTTTTTTTTTACCTCGACACCCAGGGGGCTTTGTAGTATTCTTTAGTGAGTTAAGGATAGAAATTAGTAGTTTTGGTACCATAATAACATTATCTATTCGCACATTCGCGGGATGGATTGGGCAGTGACAGGCCAAAAATCGTTCCCAGTCCGACCCCAGGGGTTGCCATGTATAAGGGGGGCCATAGCCACCCCTGGCCCCCCATCTAGCTCCGCCCCTGGAGTTTTTTCCTTACTCTTTCATTTTACAAGCATTTTCTGTGTACTTTGACCTCGTTCACCAACTCTTTCCAGCCGAAAGCAATCTATCCGGTTTGATCTTTGATCCCAGTTTTCTATTTTCAAAGCAAATAAAAGTGAAAGTAAAGCAGAGTGGGACCGGAACGAAAAAAAACCGTCTTCCTTTAAAATGGAAGTGGATCGGTATTTGTCGCGGATCGGGTTTACAGGGCCCTCAGATGTCCCCAGCCTGGAGCTGCTTCGCTCCGTCCACAGATGCCACCTGCTCTCGGTGCCATTTGAAGACCTGACGGTTCACAGCGGCGGACGGGTCCAACTGGACCTCCCGATCCTCTATGACAAGATCGTGAAGCAGCGTAGAGGTGGATTCTGCTTCGAGAATAACTCTCTGTTCTACTGGCTCCTGAGCCAGCTGGGTTTCCAGGTCACGGTGCTCGCAGGCCAGGTAAAGAACTCCATCACCGGCCGCTACGGCCCCCCGTTTGACCACCTGATCTTAATGGTCACCCTGGAAGGGAAACGCTGGCTGTGTGACGTCGGTTTCGGTGTTCCTGGTTTCAGTGTCCCGCTGTCTATAGAGACATGTGGACCTCAGGAGCAGGGACACAGAGTTTACCGCCTCAGAAGGGACAGAGAAACGCTCTTTCTAGAGTGGCAGAAGGAGGAAAACAGAGGGGAACATGGCGACTGGTCGGAGATCTATAAGTTCACCCTGGAGTCTCGGCTTCTGGGGGATTTCACCGAGATGTGCCTTTATCACCAGAGCTCTCCGAGCTCCATGTTCTTCTGCAAGTCGCTCTGCACGGTGTTGAAACCGGAAGGGAGGGTGACCTACATCGGCCGCAGGCTGAAAATCAGCAGGTTTCCATCAGAAGCGACTGGAGGCGTGACGGAAACCACCAGAGAGCTTGAAGATGAAGAGATCCCAACAGTTCTGGAAGAACACTTTGGGATAATACTTCCATCTCCTCTAATACCAAAGGATGACACAATCACTCCACCCCCAGTTATGTACTGATTTATCTGCAATATATCACTATAAATCATATGAAGGAACAAAAAATACATATATAGATGCTCCTTAACCGTTTCTTTTCTTTGAGGTTGTCTGAAATTTTCATTTTGTCTTAAAAGCAGCAGATTTGAATTGGCTATAATTTAAAGCAATCTCGGCAAATGGCCGCTCACACTGAGCCTGGTTCTGCTGGAGGTTTTCCTCTCCACTGTCACTACAAGCATGCTTAGTGTGAGGGATTGCATCCAAGTCAATGAGTTGTTTTCCTTGGATTGAAAACTTTGAATCAATTTGACTATGATCTGGTGAACTGTAAAGTGCCTTGATTTGACATTTCTATATAAATAAACCAAACTGAAATTGAATTGTTTTTAGAAAAAAAAAAGAAAGTTCTTTAAAAGGATTTCAAAATTATGTAAAAACATACATTAATTTTTTTTTTGTAATTAACCTATCAAGGGGGGAAACTGGCTACTGATTTTTACTCTATTCAAAATAACTAGATTCATACTTTTAATTCAACAATTATTAGTATTACAACTTTGCCTCCTAATTTCAACAAGACTCCCTTTTTTAAACAACCACACTCACTCTGTTGTTGAAAACATGCAACAGAAAAGATAAACTGTCACTTTGATTTAATAAATTATACATACAGGTTTTAAGATGTACAATGATCATTGCATTAATCCACAAATATCCTTTTTCACACGAGAAAATCTGCTTTCTAAGTATTTACACATGTACAATTCTGAGGCAGCGCTTCACAGAGCAAGGCGTGAATGACAAATACATGATGTTTAGACCCTCCTCTGTTGCCCCTTAGGGTAGAGGGTCAAAAAATGGGTGGGAAAAATGTGGCACACATTAAAACTCAAAGATGTTATTCAACGACAGGATTGGAGGTTGGGATTGAGTTCGCTCTGCTGGATTTCCGTTCATAGTTGACAAGCCTCTGACCAACCAGGTACCTGCGTGGGAAGAATAAGGGTCAGATATGGACTGAAATTAAGCCTTTTTTTTTAACAACATATAGGATTTGCTTAAACATTTAGATAATGACAGTAATTCTTTATACAAAGATACAAAAATGACTTCCCAAAATGAAGCCAAAGCAAACTTAAATCTTTGCAACAAGAAGTGTAGTTAAGCTTATGAACAGAATATGACAGAAAACAATTTAAAAAACAAACATGCATACTTGTCATTCTTAATGTGTTCATAGAGTCGTTTAAACTGTCTAATCTGGAAAGACAGGATGCCGATGAGGGATACCACCATCAATAGGAATGGGTAGATTCTCCTCTGCATCAGGATCTCCATTTCAGGGGTAACTCCTGCAACAACAGCAATATTCTTCACTTTTATTCACTTAACATTTTAATGCAGGCATTATTGTTTGTGTGTATGGAAATTTGAAATAATCTGACTGAAATAAAATTACTTTCAGAGAAAGTTTTATGGTAAAGAACACCTTTATCAGTTAAGTTTAGATATATAAATATTGGAAATATTGGATGCACTAGTTTCAAGTTATAGACAATTTTGTTTATTATCCAAACAGTCTTAAAATTATGCATATTTCCTAATGTTTAAACATACACCAATATTTGGGTAAGTGTAGATTAGCACACTGCAGTAAAATCAAACACTTTCTGTAGCTGTAAAGCTCTTGACATAAGTCTGACAGGGCAACTTTCTAGTTTTCATTTCAGAGATGGAAAAACTAATTTAAATAATTTAGCTTTCTGCCATCAGTCCTGCTTTCAGTCAAAGTCCACAAGCTGTGAATCTGCCTGAGGTTGAAATCATTCCAGAAGCCTAAAGTTTGCAGCTTATACCCATCTTTTTATATTTTCATCACACTGGTTTTCTTATTTGTTTTATTTTCTATGGCTTATTCTGTGCTGACTTCCTTTCATTTATTTTGTGTTTTCTAAGCTGCTTTAATGAATTAACCTCCCCCCGCAGTGAGACTAATAAAATCTTCTCTCATGGTGAATTCAGTTTAGATGCACATTAGGATCATTTTACACTTAGAACACTCAGTGGTGTCCAATTTTCAAACAGCTCACTACTTTATCAACTTGAAAATATGGACACCATGAAATTGAAACTGGTCTAAACTGGATTTTCTGATGTTTGTTTGCAATATTATAAGGCAAATTAAAAAATAAAAGCATTTCTAACACTGACCTACAGCAGGCACCACCCCAGCAGCTATCACGTACGGCACACACAGGGACAAAAGCAGCACTGAGATGACAGGAGCTGCCAGTTTTCTGATAATGAAGTGAAGATCAATGTTGCGAATACCATTAGCATAAACCTACAGAGAGAAGAGCCAACAGGTAAAAGTTTAAAGTCATCCAAAAAAGAACAAAAGTCATCTCAGAGCTTTGCACATATAGATTTAACGCCTACAGTTCATTTTATTTCAGTTTAGTCTATTAACTGCAGGAAAATAAAACAATTATAATTGCAAAGTCATTGGTATATTGTTAAGTATGATAACAGCTTTGATTAAAGGTTAAGGTGCATCCAGTAAGTAGATTAACTACACAAAGTGATAAAACAAATGTGTGTAACACACGTGTTGAAACTGTAGTCCTTATTTATACATGGCAAGTACCGAATAACAAACCTGTTTAAAGCATAGTAATTGACATTACTGACTTTTAAAAACGTATTGGTTACAGCATTACTTAGTGGAGAGCTACCATAGTTACTGTAACACATTAGTCCAAACACTGACTTTTCTTTATTCCCCTACCTGCTCAATAACAGCCTTAAGCCACCACTGTGGGCCCATGAGGGTGATGGCTGCAATGATTTTGGCATGGAGCACTCCAAGAGCCCAATCCTGAAAGTAGCATCAATGCATGAAAATGTAAGAACTTCTAAAAGTCTATATAAAATAAAAAATGGACCTGATCTTTCCACATGCAAATATAATCCTACCTGCCAAGGATAAAACAGAGGTGTCTGGTCCAGAGGAACTCTAAGTGGGACCACTATAACCAGTTCAAACAGCAGCCCCAGTAACAGTGGGATGACTCCAGCGACCAGCAAAGCCACAACCAGGGTCTTCAGGATCTACACAAAAAAACAAACAAAAAAAAAACCTGTGAGCCCAATGTTCTTTGATAAGAAGCTTGAACAAAAAAGAGAAGGACCAATCAGACATTTTAGTAGACATTTTGAAAGCTTTCTCCAAATAAGATTCAGATTTTTTTTCATCTTTTGATGTTTTAGGAAAAAAGTTTTTTTTGTATTTGAAAAGGTTGGTTTATTTTGTCAATATATGGTTTTCAATTAAAGGTATTCTGGATGATATTTTGAAAGACACGCCCTCTCCACTTAAAAAAAAAAAAAAAAAAGCGTGCGAAAGTGCTTGCACGAGCCCATTACTCCTCGTGCACTTCCTGTTTAAAATGTGCTGTTCTCATAGCTCGTGTGATCTTACTGCGTCAAAACACAGCGGGGACTATATAGTGGACTTTATAGCAAACTCAGTTAACTGACCATTTGGACAGATAACTGTCTTTTGCTCCGTTGGTCACGTAACTCCTCCTCCTCCGTGCGGTGCCTGCGTCATCTCTGTCATTAGTCGGCGCTGTCGGAAGGCCCATAATGCTTTGTGAGGAAAGCTCTCTGCGCAAAGCATTCTGAGATATAAATGCCTCTTCTGAGGCCTTTCTTTTCTTCTTACACACCTTGTAGACACCTTTTCACTTACGACGAGGGCCATTTTCAAAGAACCGTGGTGAGAAAAGTGAGCTTCAATGACTGTCTGAAACCGTAGCTCACTACACATACACAGCTGAAAGTGCACATGCGCAGAAAAAGATATTAAACGGGACGAGCACGAAGGACCACCTTTATGTAAACATCTCACCAGAATGATTAACAATTAGGAGGACCACTTATTTTAATGATCCATCCGGTAATAAAAGATGGTTCTCTATACCTTAAAAATGTGATTGCAGATCCTGTAGTTAACTAAACATTTTAATCATGTCCCACGAGTAATTTATATTTTTTCAAACTTGGCNAAAAAAAAAAAAAAAAAAAAAAAAAAAAAACTGTGAGCCCAATGTTCTTTGATAAGAAGCTTGAACAAAAAAAGAGAAGGACAAATCAGACATTTTAAAAGCTTTCTCCAAATAAGTCTGTTAAATAAGTTATGTTTTAGGAAAAAGCTTTTTTTTATTTGAAAAAGTTGGTTTATAAGATAAGATAAGATAAGATAATCCTTTATTTGTCCCACAGTGGGGAAATTGCAGCGTTGCATCACAGTACAGTCGGAAAAAGAAGAATACAAAGTATAAAAATATATATATATATATATATATACACACATTAAGTATATACAGACAGACAAGGCAACGCTGGTATAAAGTATTTTGTCACTGTGTGGTTTTGATTTAAAGGTATTTTGAAAGACACGCCCTCTCCACTTGAAAAAAAAAAAAACAAAAAAGCGCACGAAAGTGCTTGCATGAGCCCATTTCTCCTCGTGCACTTCCTGTTTAAATTGTGCTGTTCTCATAGCTCATGTAAGCTTACTACATCCACATACAGCGGGGACTATATAGTGGACTTTATAGCAAACTCAGTTAACTGACCATTCGGACAGATAACCGTCTTTTGCTCCGTTGATCATGTAACTCCTCCTCCTCTGTGCGGTGCCTGCGTCGTCTCTGTCATTAGTCGGCGCTGTCGGAAGGCCCATAATGCTTTGTGAGGAAAGCTCTCTGCGCAAAGGATTCTGAGATATAAATGCCTCTTCTGAGGCCTTTCTTTTCTTCTCACACACCTCATAGAAACTTTCACTTACTACCGTGGGCCATTTTCAAAGAACCATGGTGAGAAAAGTGAGCTTCAATGACTGACTGAAACCTAGCTCACCACACATATACAGCTGAAAGTGCACATGCGCAGAAAAAGATAGCAAACGGGACGAGCACGTAGGACCACCTTTATGTAAACATCTCACCAGAATGATTAACAATTAGGAGGACCACTTCTTTTAATGATCCATCCGGTAATAAAAGATCGTTCTCTATACCTTAAAAATGTGATTGCAGACCCTGTAGTTAACTAAACATTTTAATCATGTCCCACGAGTAATTTATATTTTTTCAAACTTGGCTTTAGAATCTGCCGCTCACCATGAATGTCCATTCCTGCACTTTGTGCATGATCACGATACGCCCCTGTGGCATCCACGCCAGCAACACAGTGACTCCACGCACTGAGAGCCAGCAGACGTACAGCCCACAGGCTGCTGTGTACAGCTCATGGATTTTAGAGTTTCCTGTCCAAAAGGACATCAGCCAGCGCCCCGTAAATACTGAAAAACACACATGGCAGAGCACTTATTCACATCACACCCAACTATACAGTGGTGTTA